GATCTACTAGAATACAGGAGCAAGGTGGATTTTTAGATTGCACTCGAGATGGGAGTGGATCAGCTGTCTATCGCTACTCCAAATGAGCAACTTGAAAGCATTCATCACATCCTAACAGGCACCATCTTGGTTGAGCCAAAGTTGGGCTTCATTTTCAAGAACGAACACAGAAAAAAAGTCTTCTTCCGAGCCAATGAGAAGTACAAGTATTCTAATGCAATACTGCTCTAGGTAAGGGAGAAGGTCATACAGACAGGAAATGAAGACCCCACAACAAAAGAAGGAGCCTCAGAGTTGATTCGTACAATCAAATGGTTTGTTAGACTTTCATGACCTCCTTTAGAGGTTCATGAAGCTACAACACATTTAGAGCTCTTATCTTTTGTATTTCCTTATCATGTAATTTTAATGCTTTCAATTTATGAAAATCATTTACAGAGGACCATGTTGGCTTCTTGCTTTCTAGACTAGCTTTCAAATTCATGCAAAGTATTTTTATTACACTTAGGGGGAGATTGTTAGCATTTTTGAAGTGTAAGTAAAAAAGCCTCTTGCTCAAATCAAGAGGACTTAAAGTCTAGAAGCTCCTGAAACCAGAGCTCGGATACAGAGCTCAGACATAGAGGAATCAGTACCGAAGTCATGCGACAAAGATGCTAAGTACTCTGACGCAAAGCCCGAGTTCTGGACACAGAGCCTCTGGGTCTCAAACTTCGCCCGCCTACATGAAGGTTCCACGGCTATTCTCTTTATCACAAGTGATCCAGTCTCCTTATCACACGTATGCGGAGGTATCATTACCAATTTGAAAAGGTAATTTTTCTAAGGTATCATTACCAATTTGTAGAAGTGCTCCTACCATTATTGAGAGAGAAAATATCACACCTGTGAGAAATTAGCTTATTGAGAGATTTTCTTTTTCACACATTACTGTGTGTTCTTGGTTTAATCATCTTGTTCTCTTAAGCTGTTTGAATACATTTGACTTGACAACTTCTCAAAGATTAATTGTTCTTCACTGTAGTGTTCTTGTCGTTTCTCATCAACCAAACAAGTATTTTTGTTATTTGCTTCCGCTACTTATTAACCTTAGCATCTATTGCTAGAGCATTTGGGGTTCTGGATTCCTACATACATGTTCTAACGGACAATACCTACTCTATACTTAAACTAGTTCATATATGAATCTATTCTGTCAAATTCAAAATCAATTAAAATTATCATGAATAAAATCTGCTATGTTTTTCATATGTGATCTTACAAACTATGAATCTTGAAGTATAGTTTTCCATATATGAACGCCTACATTTATCATGACCTATTTCTAATTATTATCATGAACTTATTAATTCACATATGAATGCCTATAACAAAAGATTGTGGCATTCTGTAAAAAAAAATAAAACAAAACACAAATCTTCAAGATTAATTTACTTCAAATCAACATATAAAAATCATAAAAACATATAATTAAATCAAGATACAATTTTTTTTAAATAAACAAGAACATAATTACCTAGAACATTAAATTTTAGAAATCAACTACTAAAAAGAAACATCAAAGAAACAATGAACATACCTTCGCTTTCATCATCACATCCTTCTAGGTCAATAATTCAACATTAGGATCAAAATCAACATCTTACTCAAGATTGCTTTCTAGATTCAAATTCGTATTGAAAGAATACAAGATTTGATCAATAACAAATAAAAAATTTTGATATTTTCACAGTCTACAGTTGCGATATATGATGGAGAAAGAATCGAAACAAAATCATGAAACAATTGCCACAAATCTGGATTCAGTTTCTTAGAATCATTACTGAAGATGTTTTCACTGTCTAATTTTGTTAATCACAATCTCTAACTGCTAATTGCCATATTACCTGTCACTTAGATTTTTTGATCATTTAATCTAATGGCTATGATCGCTTTTTGATCATTTAATCTAATGGCTATGATCGCTTTCCTCTTTCTCATATGTTTGAGACACCTCATTTGAACCTATGGAGAGAGAGAGAGAGAAATGTTTCCTTAAGATCTCGGGAGCCAATCTAATCCAGCCACTCAACAATTTTCATCAAACGTTAATTAACATTTTCAATTAAACAAAAGTCAAAAGGTTAAATTGGTAATTGTATAATGCTCAACTAAAAAATATTACATGTGATGCCTCCCACCGTAACTGACATGCATCTTCGAATATATTGTTCCTTGTTCTTGTTTCATATCTTACAAAAACCTACAACCTTTTTGATTTAAGGTGTGTTTGTATGTGTCTTACAAAACCCATCACCTTTCTGTATAAAACCATAATCTACTACCTTTATCTATTATCAAGAAGAATTGAGACCGATCAAGACCTATGAGACTGATTGAGAATCAATCGAAATTGATCGATAACCCATCTAGACCATTCGAGAACCCACCTTCATATGTTGGTTGTGTGTGTAAAACCATATCATCATCTTCCATTGAGACCAATCGAGAACCCAACAAAACCGATCGAGAACTTGTGTGTAAAACCACAATCCACCACTTTTATTTTCCATCGAGACCTTTTGAGAACCTATCGATTGATTTAGTGAGTGTGTGTGTGTGTGTGTGTATTTTTATGAATATTATAGTGAAAATGTATATTCATGAGGAATATCATACTGGTATATGAATACTAGAAATTTGTTGTATATACGCGACCATACATCAATATGCATGATGAATACTCAAGTCAAAATGTATATTCATGATGAATATACAACTGAAAATGTATATTCATGATGAATATCATACTAATTATGAATACAAGAAAGTTGTTGTATAAACTTGAACATATATGAATATCCATGATTAATATTACATATATACATCATTTCATGTAAAAATTAGTTAAAAACAAAAAAAATAATCAAGATGTATATCAAATCGAAGAGATTAAATTGTTATTTTTTATTTAATTTATTTGATTAAAATATTAAATAATTTAAAGATAAATTAGACTAAAAACTAGTGGATAAAACTTTTTTAATTGAAAAAAATAGGAAGAAGGTAAAGAGACGCATGAAAATGAATTTAGAATTGAATTTTCATTTTCCCCTAATTATTTTAATTAAGAGAAAAGTTTAAAAAAAACCTAATTATTTTATCTAAAAGTCCTTAAATTATTTTTTTTTGGATAAAAAAAATCATTAAACTTTCTCATTTTAAATGATTAAGTCCTTGAACTAAATTTTTAATGAAACAACCATTAAACTTTCTCATTTTGAATGATTAAGTTCCTGAACATTGTTTTTCACTAAAGTAAACCATTCAAATTTTGAAACTTAGTTACTTACATCCTTTTTACAAAAAAAACTATTTGTAAAAGCAAGATTTTAAAGTGAAAAGAAAACCTAAATCAGGTTTACCATTCCTAAACCCTATGTCATTCAAACCCCACATAAACACCGGTATCACTCCTCCCTTACCACTTCTCATCGCCTCATCATTGTCTGTTCTTTGCATCACCTATCATGTTGTTGGGCTCTGCCATCAATCTCCCTATTTTTGTTTTTCATCTTTTGATTCTCCCTCTTTTGATATATCAAAAAGAGAGAGATTGATGGCAACGACCAACAACATGATAGACAATATGTAGAACAGACAACGATGGAGAGCGACGGGTAGTGGCGAGGGGGAGTGATACCGTTGTTTGTGAGGGGTTCGGATGATGTAGGGTTTTAGAACGGTAAAACTGATTAAGGTTTCTTTTTACTTTAAAACCTTCATAGTCGGTTACAAGTAGCTTGTTTTAGGTTAAAAAGATGTAAGTAACCAATTTTTAAAAGTTCAATGGTTTATTTATGGAATAAAAATGTTCAGGGACTTAATCATTAAAAAAAATTAATGGTTTTTTCATTAAAAAACCGTTCAAGGACTTGATCATTCAAAATAAAAAAAATTATGATTTTTCTCATTCTAAAAAATTATTCACATACTTAATTATTTAAAATGAAATGGTTGGATTTTTCTAAATTTTTTGCTTTAATTAACCAATAACCATTCTTCTAATCTTCATCCCCTAAATAAAAATATTTAATGACCGATATGTCTTTATTCATATCTATTGATAGTTTTCATTACATTTCATGTGCATTTTAGCTTGCATTTTTATGCCTCTCTAAGCTTTATTTCTCTTTATATTCTGTTGGGTTAACTACGGATCGGTTTTGGAGTGATTTCATACACTTTTAGGCAAGGTTATGCCAATTTCTGGTCGAGATTCTGGTTGATGATCGTGTAGTGGATGATGTCGAGGATGATTAGGAAGAATTTGAATGAGAATTAGAGATGAAGAAGAATGAAGAGGTCGAGAAAGCGGAAAAAGAAAAAAACTTGAAGCATTGCGGACCGAACTTCATTTACACATGCGGCCATGTTAAAATCCACAAAGTTTATATCTTGAGTTTTTATGCTAAGCGTGGCGCACGTGATCTCAAGGTGCGACCATGTGCGTTCATAAAGGACGTTACGGTGGTACACTTTTGTACCAACATCTCAAAAATTGAAGTTACAATTACAAATTCATAAACATAAGTACAACCTATTGTCGAGATAATTTAATACAAACCTAGAGTGGAGGCATCCGTTGAAAAGAAAGGAAACTAAGATTACTAATTATCAAGTTGGAGACTTACGGTTGCTATGAGGCGCTCACCCCTACCCAGTAGGTGAGTAACACACAATAATTTACTAAAGTCAATAACCGAGTAAACAATAAAATGTTATTTAGTAAATGATTAAATTCCTCTAAAAAACAACCACTTGCATTAATAATTAAATATAATTCAAGTAATCATTTTTTATTTAATAAATAAATAATATACATATAAGTAGGTACGGTACGATATTACCGTGGCATACGATTTTCAATACCACGTACCAACCAAGTTCATGAAGCTGGTATAAACCGGTACGATTGGCAATGCAATTGGTTGGTTTGTCATGGAACAAAATTGACACCCTGCGCATAACTAGTTGCCTTCTTGTATAAATATTAAAGGTGAACAACACACACCCCTTAAGTGTACCTCCGAATGTGGAAACCAAAATCAAAATAGAGCTACGAAAATGATGACTCTGAAAGATGCAACTGTAACTTTGTCATATGGCAAATAGCAACAAAAAAAAACATCATCGTTCCCATCTCTTCGTCCCACTATGGCAAAGAGATGTACATCTCGTATACAACAAAAGCAATGCCTGACTCATCAACCGACCGACTTCACATCTCTTAGACAACAGACCTTGACTGGACCACACAATATAGGGCAACCAGACTACATGAGATGCTCTCAACTGACCTGACCTGACCCGACCCGACCCGACCGCATTTGACCTTTGACGACATCAACATACCATCTTGCATCCAAAAACCTGCAAGCTTGAATAAATCATCTCATGTTTGCTAGCAAAAGTTCAATGCAAATTCCAGAAACTCCTAATTGAAGTCCAATTTGGCTCTAATTCTCGAGTAACATGGTGTTTTTGTGTTGCCAACGAACCATTGTGCTTATGGAAATGCAAAAGAATGAAAAACACTTGGCTTTACCGAAGAATGATTCTCCATTAAAATTGGATGAAAAAAGTTCAGTTTTTTCTTTCGTTTTTGTTCCAAAAAGAGGGAAGTGTGATGATTTGAAAAACGAAACGACTCACTTGATCTTCGAAGGACTAATCGTCAACTTCAATTTTGATACAATTACAAAATACTTCAAATTTATAAACAACAATTCTAACCATATTATCTATTGTAAATGGGAAAATGATGGGTGTTGAAGACAATTGGTTGAACTTAAAAAGTCAAAGTACACCTCTGGAACAAACTAAGGGAGCTTCTCCGCAAGATGAAAGACGGTGTTGAATTTTAACTTGATAAAATACCCCCTAAGACCATAACTATGACTGGGATATATCGGGCTCGTTTATTTTGGTTTTTAGAATAACCCAAGCAACCTCGACACTAAAAAGGGTTATTACAAAAGGACAATGTACTAGTGTTCATTCGACATGCTAAAATTTTAGCCAATTTGAAAAATATAGATCTTCATCCTCCCATTTTTGATCTCTGTATAAAAATTTTGGCTGGAAAGCTGGCGTGTCGGGAAACACACGCAAGCCTTCAAGCACGATGGGTAAGCAATAACCGGCACCAGTTTTTGTCTTTGGCCAATCTTGAAACCAGTAATTGTAAAATGGGAAAAACCGTCGTCAGTTTTTGTCAAATTGACAAATGATAAGTAGTAGGCTTGTTCTTTTTTGGTAAGCAAACTTAAGAAGGGAGTTAGTATTACCTTCAGTTGTTGAAGTTGAATCCACCAGATGGGACTTGAACGTTACCTCCTCCAAAGTTGAAGCCAGGTTGTGCAGCATCTCCTACGGGTTCATCTTCCTCTTCTAACCAATATGTCTCGAGAATCTTGACCGCTTTCTCATAAATTTCATTGTTATCATGACTCTGTAAATTCTCAATCTTTTCTAGACCTTCTGCTTCATCTATCAACTGGGCATAGTAATTAACATCTCCGGTATGACCCAAGTTCTTCTCCACTTCCCCTACCTTTAGTATGTTCTCAAGTCCTTCTAAACACACAGTCACAATCCTTGAGTCAGGACAAGCAAGGAGATCACAAAGGGGTTTTATACATCCCTGGCTCACCAAGTACCTAAAAATCATAGTATGCAATTGCACGTTTGAATATATTAATTAACTTTTATTTCAAATTTTGGGAAAGATGGTGAATGAGAGCGTACTTGATCTGGTCATTATTACCACCAGAGGTGGCGTTTGATATTGCCCAAGCAGCTTCTTTCTTTATGTCGAATTCAGCCGTATGAAGCAGATTTACCAGAGGAGAGATTAGCCCTGCTTCAATTACAGCCTGTATATTGAAAAAGTACAAAATTAATACATATAATCCAACTCATAAACAAAGCAGCATATTTTGTTAACAAAGGTCTTAGCATGGATCAAGGTCTAAAAGATAAGAAGCTTCCAGAAGCATATGCTAACCGCCTTACCTGTATTTGTTCTTTGTTTCCAGCAGTGATGTTGGAGATCGTCCAACAGGCTTCTTTCTTGATGCTCTTTTTATGGTTATGGGTCAACAAGCTCAGCAGGCACGGAAGTGCACCATGCTCAATAATACACTAGACAAAGAAAGAAAACAGGAAATTGATCCGAGTTTATAAATCACCAGTTTAATCTTTATAATACAGACCATATATAACTACCATTTCTTTCGGAACTAACATATAGTAATTTGGAATGGATGGAGACCATAGCAGGTGATATCGTGAACTATGTTTCTTGTTGTGTGGTTCTCATAAAAGAGGCACATTACAGATTACGGAATGCTAGAATTTCTCGTCAGGGTTCGCTCAAGCAGTTACTGAAGTAATCTAAAAACGCTTAGCCAGAGCTAGGTGGTCAATTGAGAGCCCAACAAATCAACAATTGGTTAAGCAGGGATTAAGCAGTCTAGTTATAATGTAATAAATATTGTTTGTTTAAAATAGCCTTTACCTTAAGAGTTATTTAAATGTTCATTGCTACCGTACAATTATTTTCATTCAAATAAACAAAATTAGTTCAAGTACTTAAGCTTTTCTCATATTGTCCTAATACGAAAAAGATAGTACACATATTGTAAAAACAATCCATCAATTTTTTAAACAAGTCAACATTGAAATATGAACACGAACAACGCAAAAATTTGAAAAAAAAAAAGAAAAGTAAAAGGGGTTATTTATAATTGCTGCAAAAAGTTGTTTCTCTTTTTATATTTACCTAATTGTATTGAACGTGAAAAAACACAAAATCTGAATAACAGCCTTTCTCCCTCTCCCCAATCTGTTCCTTATATCCATCTCTCTAACTTCTACACAATACCTCAACCTTGCAACTTGCAAGATGAAACCACAAATCAAAATCAATCTCACATTCACAACACCGTTAAAGGAAAACACACAAAATGTGAATAACAGCCTTTCTCCCTCTCCTCAATCTGTTCCTTATATCCATCTCTGACTTCTGCACAATACCTCACAACACCGGTGAAATCGTAATTGGGCTATCCTCATCGGTGGTCATTACGATTCGAATAGAGATTCCAAGTTAGGAATTTCAATGTTTTGGGTGAGCTTCAAATTTGTGACCTAAAACTCAAAGCCTTTTCAGATTAATTGCTGACTAAAAATATTATTCTATTAATTACCAACTCTTATCAGGGCATTTAATACTCTGCTTAGGCCATAAGTGGAATGTTAAGAATATTATCCTTCTATGGCAAAGGGACCGTGGGGACTGTTAACCTCTATTTTCAAAACACTGGCTGAAACAACCAGGTGTATTAAGCGAACGCATAACTATTTTCTGGATATAGGATTGATGAGTACATTCCTTGTCAAACTTAAAACAATTAGTTTCCTTATTGTTTAAAAAATGGTCCTTAACATTGTATCTATAACCCCCCCCCCCCCAAAAAAAATCTTCTTAATATGATGAAAACTAGGAGATCTTGGTGATCCAGTTGCTAAGCAGAAAATGGGTCACAGTAATCAACAAAATAACCAGTGCAAACATCTTCCCATAAGAAAAGGACTGAGAGAAACCTATAGTAAGGATTCAAAACAAAATGAATCCTTTTTTGGAAGTATACGACAATCAAACTGGTCACTTTTTTTTTCCCATGCATATTCCCATCTTATGGTCATCGTGGTTCACAACTGAACATCTAGTGAAATAACAACAAAAAATCACACAAATTCGACTAGTAAGTGTAATAAGAATGTTTGTGAATCGTGATGTATTTATGTATAATCCTTTGGTCAAAAGATGATATTCACTACAAAAAAATTTATAATTCTTTATTATGAAATAGGTTGTATAGTGTAGCAAAAAGCAAAATTCTGTATTAGTACACAAACTCTCTAAAGCCCGTACCTGAGTTTGGACATCATCACCTGTCACAATGTTCCCAACAGTTCGAAGGGCGGGAATGAGTACTGAAGGAGAAGGATGCCTGAAGAACAAATTTGTTAAACTCTGAAGCATTTAGGTCAAGAAGTATCAAGCAGGGAAAACTAAGAACATAAAAGCACAACTCACAGGAGCAGCTCAACAAGACGTTGGCAGACACCTGCCTCAATAACAGCTTGAATTTTGTCATTTGTACCATCAGACAGATAGGAGAGAGCCCAGCATGCATCTGTTAACACCTCTTCATCATTTGAATGAACAAGACGTTCAAGGGCAGGAAGTGCTGGTTTTGTCTGCAAATTGAAGATTTTCAGCACATATCATAGAATAAAATCCCCCCCAACCCCATAAATAGGAAGAAAAAAAAAGGAAAGGAAAACAAGATCACTGATTAGACTAGCAAACAACCAGCTCAAATGGAGGTTGTGGTTTGCCCCGACAGAAATTTGATAAGGTCCATGTGGCATTTCTCAGCATGGAAAGTTTAGCGTGCTCATTCAACTGAGCCAGCAATGGAACCAAGGCACCTTGGCCAAGAACAAGATCTCGGCATCTGGGTGAATCTCCAGCAACATTTCCCAATGCCCAAACAGCCTACAACAACAAAAGGTGGTCATCGTGAGAAACTGACTCCAACATTTCTGGGCTCAAAGACGATCTCCAACTCTATGATAACGTAACAAAGTCGGCACGTTACCTGCTCACGCACATCATCACTTGGGGAAGCAAGAAGTTTGACAAAAATTGGCACTGCCCCATGATCAATTACAACCTTAGTGTTGTCAGAAGTACCGGAGGCAATGTTTGTGAGTGCCCAAGCAGCCTCAAACTGTTCAGAATGTCAAAGGTTAAAATTAAATAAATAGGCAGAGAACACATGGCACCAGATAAGACTCAGACCTGGAGCTGAGGAAAATCCTCCCTCATTAAGAACTCGACAAAGCGAGGTACAACCCCAGATTGTATAACTTCCTCGATTGGTGGACTTCGTTCTGTGAAAAAATTCAACGAATATGATCATTTGCACACACTATACAACCACAAGAAATCCCATAAAACATTATTTATACCTATAGAGAGCAATTTACGAAACTGGGTAGTTGCCTCTAGTTGCATATTGCTATCATTTGAATATACTCCAGCAACCATAGAAGGAAGACTCTCTAACTGCAGGTTGATCAACACAGTTGAAAAACCAACATCATCAAATAAAAGATGTATTTATAATAGCATAACACGTGCCATTCATAACCAAATTCTCAAAATTCAAAAACCCTAAAGTTTTAGTGAACAAAAATATAAGGCAAGCACATGAATTCATGCATCAATCCTGTACCCTAAATCACAATATATAAATTTACCTCAAATGAACTTTTTACCAAAAATCATCGAATAGAGATGCATCAATCAACCCAAGCATTTAAAGGAACCTAATTCTCCATTCCGCCTATATTATTAAATCACTATGAAAGCTCATTTAAACATAGAAAAATACATATCCAGATACAGCTTTGGTTTTAACATTAAGAGGCAAGCACACACATTCATGCAGAGTGCTCCCTGGAAGATAAGTATCTTCATTGAGGAGATGGGAATGCAGTGGGTGACGCACAGAAGAATATAATCCAGAAGTCCAGAAAGGGTTAGATACATATGCTTTATTCAAACTATTAAAGTCCCAAAGAAAACGACGACCTGGCACCTTTATGTAAGCATAAGTTAATTCCGACTATTGTAGCAATATATAGAATAAGACAACTCAAGGTAAATGATTAAATTAACATGGGTAATTATGAAAGTGGAAACGGAAGCAGCAGAAATGTGGCAAAACTATGATAAAGTCAACCTCCACACATTAGGCATACAACAAGAACAAATACTGAAGAAATCCTTCAAGTTCTTTCACCTTTCAAGGCCTAGAAAGTAACTACCCAACCGTTTATTACACAAATCAACAACATTGTGAACCTTAACATAAGAATGGCAATAGTTTAAGTGTTTAACATAGTTTTCTGAGTAACATCATCTTCTATCTACACACACACACCCAATTACAAAACTTTTTAAACCCAATTGATGAACACACAGTCTAAAAAGAACTGTACCCCTGAATGCTGTTAGAACACCTGATCCATCTTGTCTATTATGTATTCATAATAGAGTATTAAGTTGGAAGGTTTTAGTAAAATGATAATTTTAACCTCTGCCTATAAACTATTGTATAATCGTATTCATATTGTCTTGAACACCATTCTAGAAGATGGTATGTGCTTATAGTGTGCTATATCGAATGATATGCATCTGATGGTACAACTGGGAAATTACTTGTCAATTTAGCTTCCCATCAATACTTGTTTGTATGTAACAGAGAAGGCATATTTTCATGATGGTTAAAGTATGAATGGGAAAAATAAATAGCTGTGCTAGACACAATTCTCACAAACACAAGGTCAAAGCTTCAACCAAAGGGCCTTCGGCCTAGCGGTATCGTAGCCCTTGGCTTCTTAGAAGGTCAAGGGTTCAAATCTCACCAAAGGTGAAGAGGGTGTGTGAGTTTATTTGTTGCATTTGCCGTATATAAATATTATATACTTCAAAAAAAAAGGTCAAAGCTTCAGATCTCGTTTACCTAGTTAATAAGCACCTGATCGATTGCAACTAGCTAATTAGGGAGTAATCATATAATATTCTTATTAGAAAGTGCATGGTAGGGTATGCTATATAATGAGCATTGAAAGGAAACTAGAAATGCTACTTTGGATGAATCAACAAGAACAACAAGAAGACTTCTTATCCAAACTAGCTGTGAAAACAAAATTACAAAGCCGCAAAACCCAAGAGCAAAAATAAAAAGGTCAACACCTAGGGTACCGCAACAAGAAAGGTGTCCTTCCAGCATTCGTAGACATAAAATCCTTGAAACTAGATAACAAACCAAACCAAAAGCATCTGATGGTATAAAAGATCATAAGCATCTGTGTTGTTTATAGGGGATGAAAGTTCAAAACTTTAAGCCTACTTAAGCACCAGTTCATCTTGTCAACTCATTTATAGTAGAATCGTATTCGTATTTACGAAATACAGGCGTTAGATAATTTTATCCACTTAACTACTCTTAGATATATTACGGTTGCAGATAGTAAACCTAGAAAATTAACAGTCGATCAATCCTGCTGATTAAACAAGATAAATCTCTCCAATCAAATGCATCTGATCCAACAATTACTACATCAAATCACGTCAGTTGGAACTAAAATTGTACGGAAGAGAATTGAGACCTTTTTCTCGATTGTGGAGGTTTGAACAGGAGCACCACTAGACAAGGGCTGTGACGACGGCACTACTTGACGCTTCTTAAGCAAGTTTTCCTCTCTCTTGTTTTTACGGATCTCAACCATGTTGTCCTCCCTCCTCCGCCTTCCCTCCTCCGCATCTACGGCCACCTTGTACCGGTTCCGGCGAACCTCAGTCCTGGCGCTAGGTCTCAGGGACATGATTGTTGGCTGATTGATATGATTTCAACTCAAAAATCCAAACCCTATGATTACAAACACATATGAAAATTCAATCGATGGATAAATAATTGAAGTCGATCGACATACCTGAACAGAAAAAGTAGGAATAGATCGATTTGATTATTAAGATGAATTGGATTACTGGAGTTTTCTAAATTCATAATTGACCCTTCAACTTTCAAATATTTTACAATTATGGCACGATAATTTGACCCCTTTCTTAGAACGATCCATTAATATACAATTTCTTACATGTCACGTCACCTTCATAAATTATCTAAAAATTATCGTCCATTACAATGATTTCTTATTAATTTTTTAAGTGACATCTTATCATAAAATGTTTTAATCAAATAACAACAACAATTAAATATCATTTACTTTAATTTAATATCAGCTAAACCACAAGGGTGGTGCCTGATTGGTTGAGCTTGGCTTCAAAGATCAAAAGTATCAAGAGGTCTCGGGTTCAAATCCAAAGAGAAATAAATCTCCTTATGGCCATGGAGGTTCAAATGCGATGACTCTGGGTTATCTGCAAAGCAGGTGGTCACCCTGAAATTAGTCGGCTCGCATAGCAGGTTGGATATCCAGGTTATTATAAAAAATTAATATCAGCTAACTGATTAAAACCAAAGAACAAATGGTCATGAAATTAATGGAAATGGATCACATAACAACTACTGAACCACAAAAAAGATTGTACGAAAACAACTTCAAAAAATTTAAACAGTTTTATATGTGTTAAGTTTGTATTTTTATTATGTAATGTATTTTATTGTATTGTAATATAAATTATATTATCCTTAACATATTAATGTTAAATTTATAAGAAAATCGAATATAATGTTAAATTTCTAACTTAATAAATAAAAAAATTATATCAATATTAATTAACGATCATATTGTTTTTTATAATCAAAATATTTTTTAATAAAGTATTAACATGTTTTTTATGTGCTACACAAAACATAAAAGTTTCATTAATTTTTTTAATAATTTTCATTTTTTTCTTTAATTAGAAATACAGAGGTTTTTCATATTTTTTTATTGTTTTTTATAATAGGTATATCTGCTTTCGAGAGGTGTTTTCGTTCATTTTATCTGGTTTCGGTCGATTTTGTTTTTTTCTGGTTGGTTTTGTAGTTTGTAGTTATAACTTGGTCCCATTTTTTGTTTCTTTAATAATATTGTGTTATTCTTTTAAAAACATGTATTTTTGGTTTAAAAGTCATGATATTTTTTTTGCTTAAAAAGAGTCATAATATAAATTGTAATGAAAAATATTTAATAAAAAAACACAATTTTTTATAGATACTAGAAGGGTACTCGTACAATGCAGCAAGATAAATCTTCATTTTAATGTTTAGTTTTAATTCTTTATCTTTATCGATATAATACGATTTTATTTGGTTTTGAGAAAGCGATAATATTTTTATTTTTGTATGAAATATAAATTTGAATATAGCATAAAAAATTTAAAAAAATAAAACAATATTAGTATCAAATTAACTATTTAATAATTCTCGTTTTTTTATGTAACTTCTTTAATTCAATTTTTTATTATAATTTAATTTTTAGATTTAATAACAAAGTAATTTATTTTTCGTTTAACAATATAATTTTTTATAAAGATAATAATTAAACATTCTGTTAGAACTCAGTGATTATCTAAATTATATTTTAGATTTTCTATATTTAAAATGAATGTTTATACTGTATTTGATTATGTTTATCTACAGTTAGTTACACGAATTTAGAAATGAAACTTTAATAAGTTATATTTACGTAAAATTACTTCTAATCTTGAATTTTAAGTAATATGCATCAATAAACAGTAGTTAATGCATTAAAATAGTTAATAATATTTTTTGTCAATAAGTTATACTTACGTAAAATTACTTCTAATCTTGAATTTTAAGTAATATGCATCAATAAACAGTAGTTAATGCATTAAAATAGTTAATAATATTTTTTGTCAAATTTTTATAATATAATATAGATTGCATTGGTAGATGCAAGTCACTTATATTTGGTGGATACTAAAACGAAGCTAGTAAGTTGGGTGATCTCATTTCTGTAAAGATGAGGGACCATTTTGATACTAAAAAGTTAAATGGAGGCTAATTTGTATAGAATATGAAGTTTATAGTTAAAAGTGTAATTACCACAAAGTCCAGGGCCAAATGATGAAATCCAACCCAAGAACAAGCGCTTCATAAGCTAATTACGGTTATTTTCGGTTTTTGTAAAGTTTGGATTTTAGACAGATAAAATATATATTCGTTGTTTTCGTTTGACCAAAGTCAAAACGAGTGAAAACTGAGAAATATTAATATTAGTGTTTTTAATGTAACTGACATAAAATATTAAGCTAGTTGTTTATTAAAAAATTCAAGATTTATCTAGTATTTTATTGTACTAGTGTGGATACCATACGTAACATGAGTACTTTGGTTAATGATTTAAATATTGTCTACATAAATATATGTTTGTTGTTAATAGAATCATTAATAAATAATATTAAATAATTCAAAAAATTTAATAAAATCTAATTAGTGAAATTTTAATATATAAATATATATATATATATATATTTGCTTAGAAATAAAGTTATAAAATTAAATAAAATGAGTAATAATAACGACGAAGGTTTGGATAATTCATGTATCGTTTGTATGATTGATGATGATGTTTTTTTATTTTAAAAAAAAGAATGATACATCTGCCGATTTTTATTAAGAAATAAATAAGTGTACGTTTAAATCACACGATAACTAATTATATGTACAAAAAATGTGGTAAATAAAAACTTAGTCTATAAACAATATGAAAAGATATTAACAGATCATTAATACATATAAATTACTATAGAGAATAATTCATTATTATAAGACGAATGATGTCTACAAATAACAAAAACAAATACTCCATCTGTCTCAAAATAAGTGTCCTCATTTTTATTTTAGTTTATCTCAAAGTAACTGTTCAATTTCAAAAAGTAATGTATATTTTCCAACTCTACTCTTAATTATGAGTTAGAGAATTCATTAATCTCTCAATTATGAATGATAGAATTGTCATTTAGTTAATTAAAAAGTGTAATAATTACACATGTAAAAAATTATGGATATATATTTTGGGACTTAAACTTGTATTAATACAAATTTCAAAATACAAATCAATAAATAAATGTTTTCAAATACTAATTAATAAATATTATTTACTATCATTAATATTCTAATTATTATATTGATGATATATATATATATATATATTACATGGAGAGAGAGGTTGCATTTTATAAGTTYGAAKTCAATGTAAATTAATAAATATTGATCAATTAATATTATTTATCGTCAYTAAATTTTAAATTATAGAGAGAGAGAGAGGAAGAGATTAATATAACGTAAATTAAAAGAGTAAAATAAATTGATTTATATATATGAATGATTGTAATAAGCTTTTCTAGATATATATATATATATATATATATAGATAATAATATTAAAATTAATAAAAATGAATTTTTTAGCAATTATATATATGTGTGTGTGTGTGTTTGTGTGTTTGAGGGAGATGACAATCAAATGAGAGCTACAAAAAAGATTATAAATTTATAAAAATTGATATAAATAATTATAATTTCTGTGATTTAAGATACTATTTTACATCAAAAACTATGATTTAAGATACTATTTTACATATTTTTGTGTTTCATTTTATGAAAAATAATAATTAATGTGATGGCTTTATTTTTTTTTTATCAAAAACTATGATTTAAGATACTATTTTACATATTCTTGTGTTTTCACTTTATGAAAAAATTACATGTGATTTTATTTTCTTCCTTACACCATCTCTGACCAACACTAAAATACTAAAAAACAGGAGTAAAAATATTGATCTTTATATTTGAATTTAATGAAGTAGGCCTCTGTAATCAAATATTAATATTTTATTCAATTTTTATAATTATATATGTATATGGAATATTTTTTAGTAAGTTTATAATTTTTTTATTTTATGTTTGCAAATGATACATTATATTTAAATAATTAATTTGTTTATTAAAAATGAAAATTAGTAACAACTAAAATATGAATAACTTTATATTCAACAAAATAAAACTTAAACATAACATTTGTATATCATAAAATACTTGAGTAAATGAAAATTTTCATTAGCAATTTTTTTAAATAAAACATGATATTTAATTTACTTTTGGATCCATGTTATCTTTTACGATGAATTATTGTAATTTAGGGGTCGTTTACCAAACACTTACCCAGTAAAAGTCTACCGGTAAAATTTAACACTATCATTTACTTATCGGGTAAGACTTTTAGTTCACCAAAATGTTACCGTATGCAACAATTTACTCAGTAAACGCTTACCATGGTAATAATGGTTGTCCTCACTTATCGAGGCAAGACTTTTGGTCCTTGTCTCGCTCTTACCGAATAAGATTCTTGGTCCTTACCATATTCATCCGGTAAGGTAATATGACTTAGTAACCGCTTACCTGGGTAAACGTTTAGTAAACGGCCCCTTAGTTTGCTTTAATGTAATATTTATTAATTAAAAATTGTCATTTTAATTAGTGATGTTTTATTAAATAAATTATTTTAAAATTCAAGTGATAATTATTTGTTGATTATAAAAAGTAATTATATAGTGTAATTGTTATATTTTTAATAAAAAAATGTAATAATAAATACATATATTATTTTATTAGTATTATAATGTTAAAGATGTTTTTAGTTTGTTTTTTAGTTGCGGTTGAAGTTGTTGTTTTTAGTGTTCAAATGATCCATCATTTTTAGTGTTTTTTAGCGGCTGGGTTGGAAAATGCCCTTTGTGAAACGAAAAATACAACTTAGAATATTCACATGATGAAATAAATAAATTTGAAACTATCACATTATAAAACAAATATATGTGAAACAATATCTTAAATCCTAACATTTGATAAAAAAAATCATGTAAAAATATTTTCAAATCGACTGTCATAGGTTTGTAACATTTTTTGTGGTTCTCATTTGATTTGGACCATATATGTATATGTGTGTGTGTATGGAAGGAGATATGTCAGTTGTTTTTAATATAAGTTAAAAAATAAAAAATAAAAAGTTTAACAATTATATGTGTTGAAAATAATTAAAAATAACTGAAAAATGGAAAGAAAAAAAAAACAAGAAAGAAGTTTCAACAATTAATTTTTTGTTTCAACAATTAATGTGTTGAAAGTATTTTGAATAAAAAATAAAAATGAGAGAAAAAAAGATAAATATGAAAGATGGATTTACGATGATAAAAGATTAAAAAAGATAACATTTTTGTTTCTTATTAAATTTGGATTTTACCTTTATGAGAATATAAGTAGACAGGGTAAAAAAGAATTTGCGGTGATAAAAGCATTTTGTTAATAAATACATAAGTAAGTTAAAATGAAACATAATTGATTAATTGCGAACTAATGTTATGTAATGCAATAAAATACAATACAATGAATCAATATAATAATGAAATTTTCATTATAAAATCATGTCCATATAGCGATCCTAAAGATGGGATGTAGAGTGAAAATCAAATATTGAATAATATGAAATGAAATAAGAGTAATGGAATATAGTATCCATTAATGATGAAAAAAATTGTACAATGTAAGACATATAAGCAAGAATGCAATCTATATTAGGTGAATCTAATAGAAGAAAACTAAACCTTAATAGAAGAAAGCTATCGTGGAGTGCTTAAAAAAACATAGTTTTTAGGGTTATAATGTTGCCATGTCATACTCAGTGATTTCTCTTTTAATATATATATATATATATATATATATATATATATATATATATTGATTAGTGGGTCTCAATGTTTATTCTATATTTAAACATTTAATCTGTTGTTTATAGGTTAATTTTATGCAATTTAGACTAGGCATGCTAATTCGGCTCGAGTCCTCGACCTATTGGAGAAACCGGTTCACCCACCCCCGAGGCCGAAGATGCCCAGTATAAACATGTACTAGGTCAGGGGCCGAGAATCCCCAACAAGTCGAAAACTGTTGGACTGTGGAGCTCCAACATTCAACCAATTCAGGAAAAAAAAGTCGTGATCAAATAGTTCCTTTTTCTTAGTTGTCTTTTCATAGTAGCGGGTGTGTGCTTTCTTTGTAATGGCTAAAAAAGCTATTAGATGAGTTGTTATGAATAAGAAACAATTTTGTTGTGTTGGGTCCACTTTAAATAAGCCTACTGTTTGATTGCATCTTTTTTCTACAGTTGGTACTAGAGCTCCATCAAGGGCCTGATTTATGAGAGTAGACAAACATAAATGACTTTGTGAGAGAAACACGAGCAACTGTGACGGAAACAAGAGCGTGACTGTAAATACAAAAGCTTCTTCGACAAGAGAAAATAGAGGAACCAAGTATGTCGAGTAAGGACATACCCATGGAGACTACGAACATCAGAAAATGTTAATGGAAAATATTCTTCGAAAGAACGGTGGAGAGAATTTGAAAATTCTTGAAACGTAGGAAGGTGGAACAATAACTGAATACGTGGCCAAATGATGCGAGAATCACATATTGTCGAGAAAATCTTGAGGACACTTACAAATAAGTTCAACTACATTGTGGTGTTGATAGAGAAGTCAAAATACATCACTCATCTCACTATTGATGAACTTCAAAGTTTGTTGATAGTCCACGAACATAAACGCATAGGAAGGTTACAAAAGAACATATGTTGAAGATTACTAAAGAAGAAGGATCAAAGAGAGGTCACTGTGGAATGCTATCGGGGTTGAGGAAAAGGAAGATTCTCACCAAGTAAGGCCACCTTGGATGCTATAATGGCCTAAACCGAGACATTTTAGTTTGAGTGTCTAGATAGGGAAAAAGGGCCAAATTTGTAGAAATGGATGAAGAGGGGGATCTTTTTCTTATAGCATATATCAAAAGTCATGGCATTTCAGTTGAGGAGGTATGGTTCTATGATTCCGGGTGTAGTAATCACTTGAGTGGTAACAAAGATTGGTTCACAAAATTGGATGAGAGCTTCAGGTACACTGTTAAGCTAACATGATAGTCGAATCAATGTGACAGGAAAAGGAAGTATTCACATGAAGGTCAATGGCATAACATAGGTAATCACCAATGTCTACTATATTCCTGAACTCAAAACTAACCTACTCAGTGTAGGCCAAATGTAGGAGAAAGGACTGACCATCCTGATTCAACACAACATGTTTAAAATATCTCAACCAAGAAGTAGTCTGATTATGCAATCTGAAATGAGTGGGAATCATATGCTCTATTTCAATGTAGCTTTGGCAGCCAAGACTTAGAAGTATTATCATACTCAAGTAGAAAGAAGCACGATTGTGGTATTCTCAGTTTGGTCACCTATAGTAAAAAGGCCTCAGAACACTAGTTTGTAATTGAATGGTTAAAGGGATTTAAAAACGCCTCAAAAGTTGTGATTGCCTAGCAGGAAAGCAACAACGAGATAACATTCCAAAGAAGTCTTCTTGGGGAGAAACATAGAAGCTACAACTTATACACTCAAAATTTATGGTCCTATAATTCCTACTTCTAACAGCGAAAAGGTATATTCTTATATCTATAGATGACTTCTTTCGGAAGACTTCATAAATTCAAAAATTCAAGAGTTTGGTGAATGAAAAATCAGAAACACTTCATAAAATCAAGAACTTGGTTGAGAACGAAGCAGGACTAGCGTCAAATGTTTGAGGACATACAAGGGTGGAGAGTTCAACTTAAACGAGTTCACAAAATTCTACGATGAGCAGGGCAATAATTGATAACTTACAGCAATGTATACGTAGCAATATAACAGAGTAGTTGAATGCAGAAATAGGACAACCATGAATATGGTTCATTCTATGTTAGACGAAAAATAGATGGTGAAAGAATTCTGGGTGAAAGTAGCAAACTAGTCAGTGCATATCTCCACATATGTCCAAATTTAGCACTCAAAAACATGACCCCTTAAGAGACCTGGTGACATGTGAAGCCAAAAGTAGATTATTTTTGAATATTTGGATGTTTGGGTTACGTTCATGTTCCAGATCAAAAGAGACATAAACTTGATGAAAAAAGCAAATTCTTTCGGTGTGAGAAAAAAAATCCAAGGCATACAGGTTTGTTTCACAAGGAAGATCACCGTCGAGATGCAAAGTTTGATGAAAATGAAGGCTAGAAATAGGAAAAGACTCAAAAAGAAAAGAAAAGAAAAGAAAATAAGTGTGCTTGAGTAGCCAGATAGTGATGACAACAAATAAGGAGGGTAAACAGAAGATTCTTATAACTCGATGACTTTAGGGTCAAGTTCCAATACGAGATGAGTCCGTCAAACACACCAAGAAACACTATCCCAAGTTATCCAAGTGAAAGAATTCTAAGAAATCCTAGTGAAAGGGTTTGGAGAGCTCCTACACTGTTGACTGAATAAGTTCTAGGTGATGATCTTTTTGAAGAAGAAGATGCAGCCACGATGGTCTAGTTTGAAGACCTTTCACCTATGATGAAGCAGTGAAAGATCAAAAGTGAAGAGAGGTGATGATGAAAGAGATAGAGTTGATAGAAAAAATAAGACCTGGTAACTCACAATATTACTATAACAATGTAAGGTTGTTGGTACCAAATGGATCTTCAAGACAAAGCTGAAAGAAATGGGTGAGATTGAGAAGCACAAGGCAAGAATCATGGTCAAAGAGTACTTGCAGCAGTATGGGATTGATTATACAAAGTTTTTCGCTCATGTTGCTCGTTTTGATACCATTCGAGCTATTCTAGCAACCGTGGCTCAGAAAAATTGAGGTGTTTCAAATGGACATCAAGAGGGTGTTTCTAAAAAAGGAAGTTAGAAGAAAAGGTGTTTATTCAACAGTCAATTGGCTTTGAAGTAAAAGGAACATAAGAAAAGGGTACAAGTTATACACAATGCTCTACGAACTGAAACAGACGCCCAAAGCCTGGTACAATTGCGTTGAGTCTTATTTCATCAAAGAAGGTTTCAAAAGATGCACCAGTGAGCATACACGCTTTACAAGAGAAAAGAAGGGAGGTACATTACTTGTAGTGAGTTTATATGTAGATGTTTGATTTGTACAGAAAACTATAAAAGGGCCTGTGAAGAGTTTAAAAGGTCCATGATGACAGAGTTCGACATGTTAAACCTTGGAAGATGATACATTTTCTGGAATGGAAGTATTAAAAAACTATAAAAGAATTTTATATGTCAAATGAGATATGCAAAAGAAATCTTGTGAAGGTTTGGTATGGAAAACAACAATCCCATTGAAAATCCAACAATGCAAGGAACGAGGATTTCCAGTGACAAGAAGGGAACAAGAGTTGATGTTATAAGGTTCAAACAAGTAGTTGGGAGTCCGATGTTCTTAAAAACAACAAGATTGGATATTATTTATAGAATGAGCTTAATAAGCAGATATTGTTAAATATTAAGCTAGCAATGGTAGTTGGTCGTTATTACAATTGACTGTTATGGTGGCTATTAGCAGTTTATTTCTGAAGTGGTATGTGATAGTTATTTAACTGTCATATCTGTTGATAGGGTCGTGTCTGTTGTCAAGGGTTGTGTCCCTTGATTATGTTTTATATTGGTCCTATGTGTCTTGTTTAGATTGATCGATTTTTAATGAAATAAACAATATAGTTGGTGTGTGATTTTGGTTCCAACAATGCTGACAGTTTTGGTTCCAACAATGTGGCATCAGAGCTTGGTTTCACAATGGCCTCAACTTCAAGCAATATCATACATCATCCTCTTCCCAAACTGAATGGGAAGAATTACCACCATTGGAGCATCCAAATGAGGGTGTTGTCCGAATCTCAGGATTCATGGGATATCATCAACCAAGGTATTGATGATCTTATAGAAATAAACAACTTTACAGAAGAACAAGAAGGAGAAATCAGAGAGTTAAAGAAGAAAGACAAGAAAGCACTATATGTGATTTATCAAGCAGTAGATGAAGCAGTCTTCGAGAGAATTTCTACTTCAGAAACATCAAAAGAAGCGTGGGACATGTTGCATAGAACCTACAAAGGGGAAGAAAAGGTTAAAACAATAAGAATTCAAACTCTCAGATGTGAGTTTGATGGTTTAAAAATGAAAGAATTTGAAATTGTCGAAGATTTCTACAACAGAACCATATTGGTATTGAATCAACTACATTTTAATGGGGAGATTATAGTAGACAGAAGAGTAGTGGAAAAGATTTTGAGAAGCCTAACGAAGAAGTTTGAGTATGTACTAGTGGTTATAGAAGAATCAAAGTACATTTCGGTTATGTCCCTTGAAAGACTTCTTGGAATCTTGCAATCCCACGAATTGAGAATGAAACAATTTGACAACCCATATGAACAAGCCTTTCAATTGCAGTCCCCAAATCCTCAAGAAAGAAACATAATCCAATTAAGGGAACCACAGATAGATTTCAAAGGCAGAGGCAAACCACCTCCTATGCAATGTTATCATTGCCAAAAACTTGGACACATAGCCAAATTTTGCAGGAAAAAGGATTGCAAAAGAAAGAGAGAACAATTTCATCAATATTGAAGACAATGAAGACACAATGTTTATGATCTTAAGCACATTGGAATTACCTACTGATGACACCTGGTATATGGACAGTGGGTGCAGCAATCACATGACTGGGAATAAGGATTTCTTCACTCAATTAGACAAAACACATAAGAAGGAGGTTAAAACAGAAGATGACAAGAGGTTAAACGTACAAGGCATAGGTGATATCCTAGTAAAAAAAAGAAGTGGACAAAAGAAAATACCAAGTGCATATTATGTCTCTGGTTTGAAACAGAACTTGCTGAGTGTAGGGCAACTCCTACAAAAAGGGTATGAGCTTCAATTCAAAGGTGAGTCCTGTGATATTAAAGATCAGTATGGTGGCTTAATTAGGAAAATAATATGACAGGAAATAAAATGTTTCCCATAAAATTCAAAGAGGACACTTTGTTCTCTTTTCACTTATCCACAAAACAAAACTCCCTATTATGGCATCACAGATTTGGTCATGCCAATCTTGGCTACCTAAGTTACATGCAGAGGCATAATTTAGTGAAAGGGATGCCTGCTACGAACAAGATTGATGAAATCTGTTAAAGTTGCATGGTTGGAAAGCAAGCAAGAGAGTCATTCCCTCAAGAAGGAGCATGGAGAGCCTCAAAATCTCTTGAACTCATCCACACAGATGTGTGTGGACCCATGAAGACTCTGTCCATAGGTAGAAATAGGTACATTATGACATTCATAGATGATTTTAGTAGAAAGTTATGGGTATATTTTTTAAAAGAAAAATCTGAAGTCTTTGCTCATTTCAAAACTTCAAGGTTTATGTTGAAAAGTAGAGTGCTAATCTAATCAAATCTCTTAGATCAGATGGGGTGGGGAGTACAACTCTGCTTATTTTGTTGATTTCTTAAAAGAAAATGGTATTCACCATCAAGTAACAACTAGATATACTCCACAACAGAATGGGATAGCAGAAAGGATCAATAGAACTCTGATTGAAAAGGCCAGAAACATACTTATAGGTAAGAATCTGCACCATTCCTTTTGGGCAGAAGTTGTGGCCTGTGCCTGTTATCTATTGAACAGAACCACTACAAAAGGTCTATCCAATATAACACCACAGGCAACATGTGGTGGCTACAAACCAATTGTAGGCCATCTAAGAACTTTTGGATGTATTGCTTATGTGCATATACCTAAACAGAAAAGGACTGAACTAGATGATAAGTTTGAAAAAACTATTTTCATAGGATATAGTGACAGGTCCAAGGCCTACGAACTCTATAATCCTATAAAAAAAGAATACTATCATAAGTAGGGATGTGATGTTTGAAGAAGGGAAAGGATGGAATGATCCATCAAGTCAAGAAGACAACACCACACATATATTGGAAGAGGATCAAGTCCAGAAGGATGAAGATTCTGAACAGATTGATCATAATGTCAACAGTCATGATACTCCTAACATATCTCAAAACACAGACAACACAGAATCTCTTGAATCCTCCACTGAAAGTTCTCCTAAAAGAGGATACAAGAGCCTGAGGGACATCTACAATGATCCAAGAAGCTTGGATTTCAATAATACTGCAGATTTTGTATTGTTTTAATAGATGCAGATCCTATGACTTTTAAGGAAGCCTATAAAGACACTAAATGGAAAGATGCAATGAACAAAGAGATGGAATCTATCATCAAGAACAACACTTGGAATTAGTCAATCTCCCAAATGGACATAAATCCATTGGAGTTAAATGGATTTATAAGACAAAATTAAATGAGAAAGGTGAAGTAGATAGATCTAAAGCAAGGTTGGTAGTAAAGGGATACAAACAGAAGCATGGAATAGATTATCAAGAGGTTTTTGCTCCTGTTATAAGGTTGGAAACAGTCAGACTGGTTTTGGATCTAGCTGCACAAAACAAGTGGCAAGTACATCAAATGGATGTAAAGTCTTCTTTCTTAAATGAATTTATGGAAGAAAATGTCTACATAGATCAACCTGAAGGCTTTGTAAAGAAAGAAAAAGAGCACAAAGTTTGTCACTTGAAGAAAGCCTTGTATGGCTTAAAGCAAGCTCCAAGAGCCTGTTATAGCCGAATTGAAAACTACTTTACAACAAAAGGCTTCAACAAATGTTCTCAGGAACATACTCTCTTCACTCAAAAGATAAAGGTATGATCCTCATGGTATGCATCTATGTAGATGATTTAGTTTTTACAGGAAATTCAAAGAAACTGATAGAAGACTTCAAAGAAAATATGAAGCATGAATTTGAGATGACTGATATAGGTCTACTACATTATTTTTGGGGATTAAAGTAAAGTAAGATATGAAGGGCATCAAGATATCACAACAGAGGTATGCTAAAACTCTTTTAGACAAATTTAATTTGAAACAAGCTACTTCCTCCCTCACACCTATGGAATTTGGACTCAAATTACATAAGGATGATAAAGAAGAATTCATAGACGCCAGTATGTATAGAAGTTTGGTAGGCAGTCTGATGTACTTGACTGCCACCAAACCAGATATTGTCTTTTCTATGAGCATCATAAGTAGGTACATGGAAGTACCAAAAAGGAGCCATTGGGAGGCAGAGAAAAGGATACTCAAATATGTCAAAGGAACTATAGATCATGGCATCACATACTCAAGGACAGAGGACTTCAAACTCACTGATACAGTGACAATGACTATGGTGGTAGTATGGACGATGGAAGGAGCACTGCTGGTTATGTGTTCGATTTGGGAAATGGAGCAATATCTTGGAAGACCAAGAAATAAAGTGTTGTGGCCCTATCCTCAACAGAAGCATAGTACATGTCTCTTTTTGTTGTTGGTTGTCAAGCCCTATGGCTTAGAGCCATTCTAAAAGAACTGCAACACATTCAAGAGGAACCTACAACTATATTCTACGACAACATGTCAGCCATTGCACTCACCGAGAATCCCCATGTTCCATGGTAAGAGTAAGCACATCAGAATAAAATTCCATTTCATACGAGAGTTGGTATCAAACGGAGAAGTAAAGATTGTGTTCTTGAAGAAATTGGTAATCAGAGAGATTATGCTTTCTCTCTTAATATCTCATTCCAAACCAATTGTCGAAATAAATACAAGAGGAAAAGCTAGAAACAAGAAAAGGCTAGCAAAAACAAGGAAAGGCAGCAAACAATCCTAAATCAAAGGAGAGAAGAAATCAACAAAATAAATAAGCGATCCTCAGTAATCAGTAGTTAAAAATACCGGAATATACGATACGATATAATCCAANAATCAAAGGAGAGAAGAAATCAACAAAATAAATAAGCGATCCTCAGTAATCAGTAGTTAAAAATACCGGAATATACGATACGATATAATCCAATATTCCCCCTCAAGTTGGAGCGTGTAAATCTTGCATGCCCAACTTGACAAGTAAGCTTCGAAGGTGTTGAGCTCCTAATGGCTTGGTAAGAAGATCGGCAATTTGGTGCTTTGTATCAATATACGTTGGGTGAACTTCTTTTGACTCGACTCGTTCACGAACAAAGTAGCAATCCATTTCTACATGCTTTGTTCTTTCATGAAAGACGGGGTTGTTCGCAATGTGTTTAGCAACCTGATTGTCACAAAATAGGGTAGTACCTTCCGCAGGGGTTTCATTAAGTTATGTAAGTAATGACCGTACCCACACTACTTCACTAACCGTGGTTGCCATGGCTCTATACTCTGCTTCAGCCGAGGAACGGGAAACGACTGATTGCTTCTTAGATTTCCATGAGATAGGAGCACCGCCGAGAAGGAGTAAGTACCCGGTACGAGATCGTCTCGAGAGGGAACTCCCAAGCCAATTAGCATCACAATAAGAGACAAGTTTCAGACCTCCTGTTCATGGTAACAAGATGCCTTGACCTAGTGTTGACTTCAAGTATCTTAAGACACGAGTAGCAGCGTTCATATGGTTTTGTCGAGGATCAGACATGAATTGACTTAACACATTGACAACGTATGTAATATCTGGACGTATGGCTTGTAAATATAACAATCTTCCAACCAAGCGTCTGTACTTGTTTGTTTCAACTTTCTGCTCTTCTTCACCTCTGTCAAGTTTGAGATTTTGCTCCATGGGAAAACCACTTGGACGACATCCCTGCAAACCACTATCCTCCAAAATGTCAAGTGTATACTTACGTTGACTAAGGACCAAACCATCCTTCRTGCGAGCCACTTCTATACCCAAAAAGTACTTCAAAGTACCAAGGTCTTTTATGCTAAACCTTTCATGAAGATGGGATTTTGTGTACTGAATCATGCTTATGTCATTTCCAGCAATAATCACATCGTCAACATAAATCAAGGCTGTCACGAGAACCTCATTTTGCTTATACACAAATAACGAGTAATCTGCCCTGGATTGGGTAAAATCGAGCTCCAACAAGGCACTTGTAAACTTATGGTACCAATTACACGACGCTTGTTTGAGACCGTATAATGACTTTTTGAGCCGACAAACACGTGTATCATTGTCTTTCGAGAACYCTTGCGGGAGTTTCATGTAGACCTCCTCGTCAAGATCACCATGCAAGAACGCATTATTGACGTCAAGTTGGTGTATGATCCAGTCCTTTTTCACAGCCAAGGTAAGAAGKGTTCGCATTGTTACTAATTTTGCAACAGGGGCGAAGGTGTCGTGGTAATCCAYGCCCTCCATTTGTGTAAAACCCTTCGCCACGAGCCTAGCTTTGTAGCGTTCGATTTCACCATTGGGCTTATATTTGATCTTGTACACCCATTTGGAATCTATGGCCTTCTTTCCATCAGGCAACTGTTYAAGAYACCATGTTCCATTCTCTTCAAGAGCCTTAATCTCTCGTTTCATGGCATCTCSCCATCTTTCATCTTGTGATGCCTTAAAGAAAGTTTTGGGCTCATCATGTGACGTGATGGCCGAAATAAAAGCTTTGTGTCTGTTAGAAAACTTGTCATATGAAATATAATGAGCTAGAGGATGTACCGTAGAGGGAGCTTGATCGGAGCTTGGGTGTGCATGGTCGACAGAAGGAGGGACATTCACCTCATAATCTTTAAGACGAGCTGGTTGGGTCTTGGTCCGCTAAGACGTGCGGCCCAAAGTACTGTGAGCGGGCTGCTGTGGGTGATCGTCGTTGGGCCGTGGGTCGCCATTGGCCTGTGTTGGTTTGCATGGTGGACTATTAGGTTCATCGACTTGTATGAGGGGTCCATACTACCGATTGCCTCTTGTTCAAGGACCACACTGGGATTATTTTGTGTATTTTCATCACAACAACTCCCATCATTCTATGTTATATTTGATTTGTTGGTCTCAGCATGGCATTCATGCCCAAGAACTTGTTGGTATTCAGTGAGAATCTCATCATCTCCTAGATCAACATTGTCCTTACGATTTGAGAATGGAAATACATTTTCCATGAATTTCACATCCCTGCTAACGATGAGTTTCCCCTTCTCTAAATCGTAGATTTTATAGCCTTTTGTGCCAAAAGGGTATCCCAAAAAAACTCCTGCCTTTCTTCTAGGAGCAAATTTATCTCCTTTTGTTTCGATGTTCCAGAAATATGCTAAACATCCCAGGACACGCATGTGATCATAAGTAGGTTCCCTTCCAAACATAATCTCATAAGGTGTTTTGTATTTGATTACCTTGGATGGTAACCTATTGATGATGTATGCAGCTGTTAAGACACATTCCCCCCAAAACCTTATGGGTAACTTCCCTTCGAACCTTAAGGCACGTGCTATTTCTAAGAGGTGTCTGTGTTTTCTTTCCGCTACCCCATTTTGCTGTGGGGTGTGTGGACATGTGGTCTCGAGTTCGATGCCATGATCGGTGTAGAAGTTTCTCATGCGATTGGAGGTAAATTCTCCTCCATTATCACATCTGATTCGTTTTATGTTCCTTTTAAATTGCGTTTGGACAAGACTATAAAAAATGATCAAGTAGTCGCTTGCCTCATATTTATGTTTGATTATGTAAACCCAAATGGCCCTACTATAGTCATCGACTATAGTGAGAAAATAACTCCCATGTGTAAGCGAAAAGGTTCTATAGCCACCCCAAATATCACAATGAATCATATCGAAACAAKCATTCGTCTTTATTGTRCTTRTTTGAAAAGGAAGTCTAGTTAATTTTGCCTTTAAACAAGAATCACAAATATCTTCYTTAGAATTATGACTAGTAACCTTACAAAAAGGAATATGAGACAACTTGCCATTCGATGGGTGACCAAGCCTTTTATGCCATTGATTTGAGGTTGTTACCGCCATAGTTTTCCGATCTTCTTGCATGACCCTCATTCTGTAAAGTCCGCCAATGCACTTACCCATTCCAATCAAGTTCCTCGTCTTCAAGCCCTGTATGACAAAGAAATCCGGGAAGAAAGTGATGGCACATTGCAAATCTTTTGTTAATCGACTAACTGACAAGAGATTGCATTTGAAATTTGGTATAAAAAGAACCCCTTTGACTTTGATCCCCCCTTTAAAAATAAGTTCATCGTTTCCCTCTACGGGAACGGTTTCACCATTTGGGATGGTGACCGGTGTTTCTTTGTTACCTGTAAAAAGGTTCTCAAGAGACTCCCGATCATAGGTCATATATTCGGTTGCCCCTGAGTCAAGTATCCAGTCACCTTTGTCGTTAAATTTACCTGCCATATTTGCCCTTGGAGCGCTGTTAGTTTCTGGTCGCCGATCTTACCGAACATTTTGAGAAACATCTCATATTGTTCATCGTTTATCCCTGGTATCTTGTTGGTACTAGCTTCGGCCAAGGCTGCCTTCGGCTTTATCACCTCCTTCTTTCCCTTTCCCGGCCACCAATCTGGGTAACCGACAAGCTTGAAACACCCGTCTCGAACATGCCCGTCTCTTCCACAAAAGGTGCAGTGTCCTGTCTTGTCGATCTTTTGCCAAGGCCTTTTGTGGTTCTGGTTGTCACGGCTAACTTGCGACGAAGCTTGGAAAGTCGCCGCATTAGGAGTGGACGTAGTCCTTTTTCCAGCCGCAATGTTTCGCTGTTGTTCGTCCTCGGATACTAGATGGTATGCCGTTCCAAGGCTTGGTGTTGGCTTTGTAGCAAATATTTGAGTTCTCATAACAGAGAACTCGGCATCGAGGCCCATCAAAAACTCATAGTCTTTCCTTTTCCTTGAGTTCTGTAATCTTTTTCCTAACATTGCAACTGTAGCCATTACATTCACACCGTGGTGTCGGCAAGACGGAGTCGATCTCATCCCATATGCTTCTTAGCTTGATGAAATAGGCTGAAACAGAGGCTCCTTCTTGACGCGTCTGCGTGACTGATTGCTTTAGTTTGTATGCTCTTGGAGCACTCTCCTTCCCAAACCTCTCATGCAGGTCATTCCAGATTTCGAGGGCTGTGTTAGCGTACTTCACGCTGCTTCGTATCTCCTTCTCCATAGCAGTGGTGAGCCATCCTTTGATCATGGCGTCTCACCGCATCCATTGCATATACTTGCCATCATTCTTGTTAGGTTTGAGAAGAGAGCCGTCGACAAAACCAATCTTGTTCTTTGCGAACAAAAAATTGGTCATCTCCTGGCTCCAATCATTGAAGTTGTTATCGGTAAGATTTTCGTTTACATGGAGTTGTTTCGGGTAGTCGGAAGGATGTAGATAATATGGAGAATTGGTGTCGATTGATTCTCCATTGTTTTGGGAGTTTTCCGGTTTATCGCCGGCCATAAGGGTTTTGCTGTTTATGATCTAAATTGCATCGAACCTTGCTCTGATACCATGAAGAAATTGGTAATCAGAGAGATTATGCTTTCTCTCTTAATATCTCATTCCAAACCAATTGTCAAAATAAATACAAGAAGAAAAGCTAGAAACAAGGAAAGGCTAGCAAAAACAAGGAAAGGCCAACAAACAATCTTAAATCAAAGGAGAGAAGAAATCAACAAAATAAATAAGCGATCCTCAGTAATCAGTAGTTAAAAATACCGGAATATACGATACGATATAATCCAANAATCAAAGGAGAGAAGAAATCAACAAAATAAATAAGCGATCCTCAGTAATCAGTAGTTAAAAATACCGGAATATACGATACGATATAATCCAATAGTTATGTGTTTCCAAAGATTAGCTTGCAGATTGTTTCACTAAAGCTCTACAAGTTGGACTCTTCATGCATATGAAAAAGAACTTGGGTGTCAAACCATTCTAGCTTAAGGGGGTGTGTTAAATATTAAGCTAGCAATGGTAGTTGGTCGTTATTACAGTTGAGTGTTATGGTGGTTAATTATTTGCAGTTTATTTCTAAAGGGGTATGTGACAGTTTTTTAACTATCACATCTGTTAGATAGGGTCGTGTCTGTTTGTCAAGGGTTGTGTCCCTTGATCATGTTTTATATTGGTCCTTTGTGTCTTGTTCAGGTTGATCGATTTTAAATGAAATAAACAATATAGTTGGTGTGTGATTTTGGTTCCAACAATGCTGATTGTTTTGGTTCCAACAGATATATGGAGTCTCCCACTAAAAACACCGGTGCAGCAAAGAGGATCATGAAGTACATTCAAGGTACTGTTGAGCTAAGGATACTCTACAAGAGGGAAGAAAACTTTGAGATAACGACTTTGCTGGAAACTTGCACGATCGAAAATACACTTTTGGCTCATTGTTTTTACTTGTCAGAGGTGCTGTATAATGATCATAAAAGAACAACCAGTGGTGATGTTGTCCAACGGAGACTGAATACATCACAAGGGCATCATGTGCCTTTCAATGTGTTTAGCTTAGAAGAATCCTGGTAGCACTTGGGCGCATACAAGGTAACATGAGTCAGTGTGACAATAGTTCAATGATTCAACTTTCAGAGCGTCATGTATTCCATGGTAATATCGATCATATTAAGGTTAAGTTTCATTTTTAAGGGACTCGGTGAGCAATGAAATGGTGCAGTTAAGCTACTGCAGTTCTCAAGATCAAGTTGCCGATGTTTATGACTAAACCCCTGAAGAAGGAACAATTTGTTAAGCTTCGAGAGTTATTAGGCTTTGAGATATAGGAGGTAAGATTTTTTATCTTAAAGGAGAGATTGTTGGACTCTGCAGCTCTAGTAGTTCAGTAAATTCAGGAAGAATAAGTCTTGATCAAATAATGACTGATTCTAGAGCATACCAGCTGGAAGAACACATCAAAAGTTTTGAATTTGTCTTTGTTTCTTTTTCTAAGGCTTTTTTTTTGTTAGTAGTGTGGGTATGTGAAGCTAGTAGTTGTCTTGTTTTGAATAAGAAACAATTCTGTTGTGTTGTCCGCTAGCTAGGGGTTTTAAAAAAACCCAGAAAACCAACAAACGGAGCCCAACCGTTTGATCTGAAACCGAGAAAAAAACAGAAAATCGTAGAAACCGGGTATTTATGAATCGATTTCGGTTTTGAATTTTAGGTACCCAGGTACTCGGATCGGAACGAATGGGATATAATGTATATATATATATATATATATATATATATTATAAAACACTTAATATATATTATTATTTAGTTATTTATTAATCCAATATTGAATAAGTAAAAGTCTTTTTTATATTTTGGAGTTAAACATTACGGTGGATGATTAAATTTGGTGGTATGAAGTTGTGAACAAATCAACGTTAACTGGAAAATGGATGTTTTTAAACAATCAAACTTATTTTAATTGGTAGCGCTTTGATTATTTTTATTCAGTTGTGTAGTTTTTTCAAATATTATTACTCAGTACCATTTTTATATTGTTAATGATATTCTTTTATAAATCTGGGTAACTCTGAACCACGGATAACCTCCTTATTTCGGTTTGCTTCAGTGTGGTTCGGTTTAACCTACAGTTCCGTTTTGGTTCGGGTACATGTGTCATGCGGTTCGGTTCATATATTTCCTACTAGTAAAACTGAACCGAACCGTAAACGCCCCTAAAATTAGCTTATTATTTAAGTGAATATGTTTTTAGAAAAATCCGGGCCGGTAATACACCCCACCCGCAAATGTCCTTGTATGTATATATATTAATTAAAATCATATATATATATAGACTTGGGATCATGTGAGACCAATGATTTTTCGTGAGACCCGTAAGACCAATTCTCAATCCTTGGATTAGATTTACAATCGTCAGATTAGAACATTCATAAACGCCACGAGACTTCTCAATAATTACAAAATTGACACCTTGAAACTTTAGACCATTAGATCATTAGCTTATAAAGTTGATCAATGAACATAAATTGGTCTTACGGGTCTCACGAAAAACTCTTGGTCTCACGTGAACTCAACCCTATATATATATATATAAGAAGGGTACTCGCGCAATGCAGCGATATATATCTCGATTTTAATGTTTCGTTTTATTCATTTTCTCTATCGATATAATATGATTTTACGTGGTTTCAGAAAACGATAATATTTTTATTTTGAACAAAATATAAATTTGAAAAAAAAATGTATCGATATTAGTATTAGATTAACTATTTAAAAGTTCTTACTTTCTGTGTAATTTTTTAATTCAATTTTCATTATAATTTAATTTAGATTTAATAATAAAGTAATTTATTTTTATTTAATAAT